GGGTATCATTGACCCCACCACAGAAGCGCCGGCGGCATTCCTAGCATCGACGCTAGAGGCGGCACGGCTCCTGGCAGAAATCCGCGCGTCTGAGGGACTGCTCCGGGAGGCGAAACAACTGCTGGAAGGGGGAGGGGAAGGGGTGCTACTGCTCCACATGGCCATCCGCGATATGGAGTCCCGCCTACCCGAAGAGGCGATGGCCAAACTCGCAGAAGCGCGCACCTCTACCCCAACAAGCGCACTGCACCACAGGCTAAGCCTCGCCATCAATGCCCACCGCGCCGATGAGCTATTCGCGGACACCCTCCTGGACCGTCCCGGCGTGGAGAACACCCACGGCACCCGCCTCACGAGCTTGAGGGGTACAAGAGCCGGCGACTGGCTGCTAGCCCTCCCATCCCGGCCTGACCTCTGCTTTACACCAGCTCAGTTTGGGACGGCGCTAGCCTTTCGCTTGGGCCTTCCCCACCTCGTCCCGGGCGGATGCTCTTGCAGGAACGCGGCCATCCCAGACGCGAGCCTCCCCAACCACATACTCCGGTGCAACGAGGGTGGGTACCCCAAGAACCTCCACAACGCCCTCGTGTATGCGATGCTCCGCATGGCCAGGGAGGCAAAATTCAACGTCTACCACGAAACCACCCAGTTCACCACCCCGATGAACCGGAAGCGTGCAGACCTGGCGATGAGAGACCACGAAAGCGGTGCGACGTGGATCACAGATGTCACGGTCACCGACCCCGTGCTCCAGCGACGTGACCTTGACGCGGGCGGCCTCCCCGGCTGGGCGGCCAAGGAGGCGGCTCGGGCCAAGGAGCGGGAATATGAGGACCGGCCGGCATGGGTGGGCTTCTATGCCCTAGCAGTTGAGACCTATGGGGCGTTGGCCCCCTCCACGGCCCAGTTCCTACAGCTACTGGCCAACCACGCTGCCCTGGTCCGGTTCAGGGCCAACCCACTCACTACTCCGGCCAAGAAGCTGTTCTCCCACTTCCGGCAGAGGTGGTCGGTGCTCCTGCAGCGGCTGCAGGCGAACACCCTCATCACCCGCAGTGGCATAGCCCTGGATGCCGCCTACCCCCAGCCTGAAGCCGACCTGTGGGCGCCGCACCTTGGGGATGTCTATGATACCCTAGACGTGGACGCGCCCTAGGGGGGACGTGGGGGAGGGGGCGGTCCATAGGTAGCTCGCTATCGGGCCATCGGTAGTATTGCCTTTTCTTTCTTTCTTTCTTTCATAGACCCGGGTGTAGACTGTACCCAGGAACCATCATCAATACAAGGACCGCTTGAGAGAGAGAGAGAGAGAGAGAGAGAGAGAGAGAGAGAGAGAGAGAGAGAGAGAGAGAGAGAGAGAGAGAGAGATAGGGGGGGGGGGCGAGAGCATAAGAGAAAGAGAGAGAGAAAAGAGAGAGAGAGAGAGAGAGAGAGAGAGAGAGAGAGAGAGAGAGAGAGAGAGAGAGAGAGAGAGAGAGAGAGAGAGAGAGAGAGAGAGAGAGAGGGAGAGAGAGAGAGAGAGAGAGAGAGAGAGAGAGAGAGAGAGAGGGAGAGAGAGAAAGAGAGAGAGAGAATAAGAGAAAGCAAAGTGAAAGAGCATAAGAGAAAGCAAAGTGAAAGAGCATAAGAGAAAGAGAGAGAGAGATAAAGAGAGAGAGAAAGAGAGATAGAAAGAGAGAGAGATAGAGAGAGAGAGAGAGAGAGAGAGAGAGAGAGAGAGAGAGAGAGAGAGAGAGAGAGAGAGAGAGAGAGAGAGATGACGAAGGCTCAAGTACTAAAGGGAGAAGGCATGAATATCAGCCATGCCCCCTTCGCAATTGAACATGAGCCACTCCCTCTTTGCCAACTGAATGGGAGCTATGCCCCCCTGCAATTGACCGTGACACATCCACCCTTAAGACAAATTGTCTGGTCTCGCTCACTTGGGTACCCATGTGATTCTTGCCACCCGACCCTTTGGCCCAGCAGAAATCAGAGAAGGATGGTTACGCAACGAACATGACCCCTACGAGTATGCGGTTACAGACAAGGACGTGACTGTCATGCATACTTGATTGCGTCACGCCCTACACTGCTGGTGCTCATGGTGCGATAGCAGCTTCATCCTGTCCATTATTGCGAAAGGATATTGGCTTCCCTTAAAGGAGGTCGCACCACATGCCTTTGAGGATAGCAATCATGCTGGAGTCTGCACACACCTGGACTTCACTCGTGGCGTGATTTGCGACCTCGCCACCTTGGGTGCCGCCGTCAGTGTCCCTACGAAGGACGCGCTAATGTGTGTCACTCCACTTAACGTGGTGGAGCAACGAGACAAGTGTCGCCTCATTCTCGACTTGCGCTAAGTCAACACCTACATCGACATCCCCAAGTTCAAGTACGAAGGCTTGAACAGGGTCGCCAAACTCATCCGCCCAGGCGATTGGATGTTCTCCATCAACCGAAAGTTAGGTTACCACCATGTCAAGATCCACCCCTCCTGCTGGAAGTTCTTGGGATTACAATTTGAAGGAGACTACTATTCCTTCATATCGCTCCCATTTGGGCTTGCCACTGCCCTGTTTGTTTTCACACAACTGATCAAACAACTGGCAAAGCGATGGCGGGCGAGCGGCGTGCGGGTTGTTCCATATGTCAACGACTTACTATTCCTCTGCAACTCCCACTCGCATGCATGCTCGACCTGCGCAGTTGTCGTGCCGTACCTGAAGGCAAAAAGTCACTTCTCATTCAACAGCAAAAAGTCACATCTACACCCTCGCGCCAGATAGCTTTCCCCGGCCTGGAGATTGACGCCGCCCAAGGCATCTTCTTTGTCGGACTCAAACGTCGAGCACAACTCTTTGCTACACTCAAAGCCCTTAGCACCCAGGGACAAGAGGGATGACGGGTTCCTATCCGGTCCCTTGCGAGATTCACTGGAATGTTGGCCTCCATGAATCTGTTGTTGGGCGCTATGGCACGTGCCTTTAGTCACGAGCTCCTTCGACTTATTGCCAACGCCACCTCTTGGCAAGCTAAGGCACACTTGTCGTTGACACCAGTGCATGAGCTGCATTTTTGGCTTGCGCAGTTCGACAAGTTCAACGGAACCCCATTCCATCTCAGTCACCAGTTCGACGCCGCTATCCACGTCGATGCAAGCGCACACAGCTGGAGCGCTACCCTGATGCAGCTTCCCAGGACGCCCATTGAAGCTAGTGCTCGCATGCCCGAGGAATTACTGCCCACCTCCAGCACTCGGCGGGAACTCGAAGGAGTCTTATGGGCTCTCCAAACTTTCGCCGCTCGCATACCCAAGCACCACGTGCTCGTTTGGGAAGACAATCAAGGGGTGGTATTCATCCTGCGCAAAGGTGGATCGTGCCACCCCACGCTCACACAACTATGTCAGGCAATCATTCGCCCCTGCCTGGAACATCAGACAAGGCTAGCTGTCAAATGGATCCTGCGAGAGCTGAATGCGCATGCCGACGAACTTAAAAAAATCCAAGACCACGATGACTACTCCCTCTAAGCCTTGTGATTCTAGCTCTTGGACCGCCGCGTGGGTCCCCACTCTATCGATCTCTTTGCAAATGTACACAACGCTCAGCTGAAGAGGTTTTGCTCCAAGATTCCACACCCTACGGCTGCAGTGCTTGATGCGTTTTCGTTCAGCTGGCAGCACGAGCATGGCTTCGCGTTTCCTCCTCCTAACCTCATTCCAGCCACATTACGACACGCTAAACGCACACATGCTGAGCTGACCTTGGTTATTCTCGAGTGGCCGGGAGCATCATGGTGGCCAATCCTCCAATAGGCACCTGACACCTGGATGCCAGAAGTAATGGCACACATTCCCCTCACCCACAGCAGCCAATGCCTCCGCCCTGGCACACACGCACCCGCTTTTGCAAGACAAGGCTTTCCTCCTAGTCGGATGATTACACTGCATGTCACGTAGAAAGATTAATAATAACTGTACTCTACGCTGTACCTTTTCATCCATTATATCGAAACTGCAAACGCAACTACTACACGTTATCACCCATGCCCGTGCCCCTTCCACCATCCGAACATATGAGCCCTACTGGCTCAATTTTTGCTCCTTCTGCATGAAGGTGAAGTTGAGCTACCTGCTTGTAACGGATATGACCTTGGCACTCTACCTCATTCATGCACTAACTCACCAGGCCTCCACATCCGCCATATCACTTACATGCTCCGCCGTCGCCTTCGCGCATCGCATGACTGGCGAGCCCTCTCCCACGACTGCGCGAATTTGCAAAAAACGCCATGGCTCGTGCCCCACCTAGAACAAGGTGATAAATGTGTAGTATTCTGTGGTGTAGTTTTCTCTAGCTGGTTGTGGGCTATTGGGTTTTGGGCAAAAGGACTTGGGTTGGTTGGCAAGGTTTGAACTCGTTACCTTTCCAACCCATACAACCTCAAATCCACTACAACATCTTTGATGTTACAGTCATGGCACTTGAGAGTGTTGGGTTTTGGTCTAGGGCAAGGGTTGGTGGTGTTTGACAATCACATACTGCAACTTTTCCAGATCGAACTGCTTCCCTTCTCGTTTTTACTAGGTGATTCATGGCTGCCTAGCCAAATTACCAGAATACCCCCTCACACTGATTTCGTCATAATCGGCGGCTCAGATCTTGGTTATGAACGTGCTTTACCATTCTAGAAAGTAGAGATTAAGACCTTTCCAACGCGTATAAGCTCATTTCTAGAAGTTACCTGAGCAGCACGCAATGATTCGTTGAGATCGTCAGACTTAATCTCTAATTAGTTCTCTCCAGATTTGCACGATTTCCATCAGTGGTATCAGAGCCACGGTTAGAGGACGTTCTTTCCTCCATTGGAAGAGATCTAGAGAGGCTTGAAGTGCTCCAGATCTAGGGTTTGACATGGCCCAAAAGTTGGATGGCCCTCCTAGGTTTACCGGCTCGGACTTTTCGCTATGGAGGTTCCAGTTCACACTATGGCTAGGTATTAAGGACCTAGAAAGTGTGTTGGATGGATCGGAGAAGCGACCACGAGCTGACTCTGGGGAGGCGTCTACTGGAGCAACCAGCCAAGTGGGATCCGGGGCTGGGGGAGCATCGTTGAGTGGGGGGAATGAAGGAGGAACCGCTGCAACTCGAACCGGAAGGTCGCAACCAAGTCGCGAGGAGTTGCTCAAAGCTCAAGAAGCATGGGATCGGAAGGATCGCCAGGCATTTCAGTACCTGTGTTGGGCTTTGGAGGGGCAACTTGAGCTTCTTAAGATGCTGATTGACCTGAAGGGGAAGGAAGGTGCAGCAGCTGCAGCTTGGAAAAGAGTGCAAGATAGGCACTTGCAGAAAGGGCTTCTAAGCGTGCTTACTTGGCGGAAGCGGTTTTACACCATGGAGCGGAACTATGGGGAGGGGGAGACCATGGTTCAGTATCTCCAGAGGGTGGATGAGAATGTGAGGGCTTTGGAGGAGCTGGATTACACGGTAGATGAGAAGGAGATCATCTATACTGCACTCCAAGGGTTGGATCAAGCGGCTAATGAGGCATTACTACAGTACCTTCACCTCGAGCAACAGAAATGGACCAAGGTGTGGATTTGGGAGGTTCTAATTTCTGATGAGGCTCGCAAGGTTGATGCTGGAAGAGGCCTAGAAGGAGGCATGGGTGTAGCAGATAAAGCTTCCTTCAGGAAAGGCTATCAACAGCAAGGAGGTGGGGGGAAGAAGAAAGAGTTGGACAAATGCCTTGTGCCCGGATGCAACAAAAAACACTCTTGGAAGAGTTGCTGGAGTAGGCCTGAGGGATGGAAGCCTCACGGCTACTCTGGAGAGGCCCCACCAGTGACCAAACCTGATTGGGTGGAGAAAAGGATGAAGAAGGGGCTCTGGAATAAGAAGGGCAGCAAGGGAGCAACGGCGGCAGCTGCTAAGGATGAGAAGGGGAAGGGCCAAGACGACTCCTCCGATGATGGTTTCTCGTTTCTCATGCTAGGGCAGGATGCAGCTCTCGCTGGTCGTGCATTGGCTGATCCCAACTTCCTGGTTCTAGACTCTGGAGCAACATCTGGGATGCTTCCTCGCCGTGATCTCTTCACCTCCTACCATCCTCTCCCCCCAAATTCGAGGAATGTGATTGTTGGGAGCGGAGATTTGCTGCAAGCAATTGGCATCGGCACGATCACCATTAAGGGGAAGGAGGGGGAGCTAGTGGGTGTGAAGGGGGTCCTTCACGTCACTGGTTTGGCTGCAAACCTCCTTTCATGCTCGCAGCTGGCTAAACAGGGATACATCTGCACTTTCACGGAGGGAGGGTGTACTGTTAGAAAGGGTGAAGCTGTGGTGATGGAGGCAAAGCTGGACAAGGGTTTATACCTTGTTCCAGCTTGTGTGCCTAATTGTTACAAGGCACATATGGTTTTTTCTGAGGAAGCCGCTTGTAGCACTCGCTGGAGGCAGGTGGAAACGGTGTCACCTGAGTTGCTACACCTTCGCATGGGGCACGCGGGGAAGCAGCAACTGCTGGAGTGTGTGAAGAAGGGGGAGCTGAAGGGGGTGGAGGTCAAGGAAGGAGCTGGGCAGCAGAGCAAATGTCCCGACTGCACGTCTGGAAAGCTGCCTAGAACCTCATTCCCTATCTCCTCTGATCATGCCTCGACTCCCCTTGAGCTGGTGCACACGGATGTGTGTGGACCGATGCAAACTCCTGACCGGGAAAGGGGCAGCAGGTACTTTGTCACCTTTCTTGATGACTTCAGTCGACTTAGCTGGGTCACCTTGGTGAAGACCAAGGATGAGGTGGCAAAGGTGTTTAAGCGGTGGATACGCTATGTGGAGAGGGAATCAGGGGCCAAGGTAAAGGTGTTAAGGTCAGATCGGGGTGGAGAGTACCTTGGGAAAGAACTTCAAACCTTCTTGGAAGAAAAGGGTATTACCCACCAGCTCTCTGTACCTTACACGCCGCAGCAAAATGGGGCAGCGGAGCGGCTTAACAGGACCTTGACCGATTTGGCTCGGGCCATCCTTTCCCATGCCGAGCTTGATAACACTTGGTGGGGGGCAGCAGTGCAGTATGCCAACTGGGTGAAGAATAGGATGGGCAGCAAGGGGCTTGGAGGCAAGAGCCCATACTTCTTATGGACAGGGAAGGTGCCGAATGTTTCCATGGCACGAGTGTGGGGGTGCATGGCACAGTATAAGGTACCTGACCAGCAAAGAAGGAAGCTAGATCCTAAGGCACAGTGGGGGATCTTCCTTGGGGTTTCTGAGAGGAGCAAGGCTTGGGTGCTGTGGAGTGTAGCTGACCAGCGTGTGATGGAGAGCCGTGATGTGGTTTTCCATGAGGGGCTGAATTTTAAGGGGTGGAAGGAGCATGGTACAAGCCAAAGTGGGACTTCCATTCAAGACCCTCATACGGCTTCTATCTTTGAGGGGGCATGGGAGGACCCTGGAGATGAAGGGGAGGAGCAGCAGGAGGAGCCAGAACCAGCTGATCCTAACCATGAGGAGTCCCGAGAGACAGATTCTACCCCTCAGCCAGCCACGCAGGCCGATGCGCGTGATGATCAGCCGGAGCAGCATGTGCCTTCAACTCCATCGAGAAGCAGTTGGCAGCAGTTGTTGGACCAGCAGCTGTCCAAGACTCCGAGGACTCCAATGAAGAGGGTGACTTGGGAGGAGAAGCTGCGGAGGCTGGAAGAAGGAGAGGCAACACCTCTGCGACGCAGTGCTCGAATTTCCCAGCCACCTGAAAGGTTTACCCCGGGGCACATTGCACGCATGCATGATCATCTTGTGTCTGATTTGAATGATTGCATGCTTGTGGACATGCATGGGCATGAGTATGCTCTTGATGTGTGTCTAATGGGTCAGGTGCATGAGCCTAGGTCAGTCCACGAGGCGCTGAACCGTCCAGAATGGGTTGAGTCCATGCATGAGGAGCTTGAGTCTCACAAGGTAAATGGATCATTTGAGCTGGTTGATCCAGCAGTGGTACCACCTGGTTTGGAGGTCCTCAGGTGTCAATGGGTTTGGAAATACAAGCATAACCCTGATGGTACTGTTGAGAGGCCTAAGTCCAGATTGGTGGTGATGGGAAACACGCAGAAATTGGGAGTACACTATGAAGAAGTGTACTCTCCAGTTGGGAAGCATGCGACCTTGAGAGGTATGCTTGGAATTTCAGCTGCTTTGGGGCTTGATATCCATCATATGGATGTCAAGACAGCCTTCCTCCATGGGGATTTGGAGGAAGAGCTTTACATGCGGCAGCCCCCTGGTTTTGATGATGGGTCTCACCGAGTGTGTCGCCTCAAAAAGTCCATTTATGGGCTAAAGCAAGCCCCACGACAGTGGTACCTAAAATTTGATGAGGCTCTCATGGATTTTGGGTTTGAGAGATCTGAGTGTGACCCTGCCTTGTACCACTTTGTGAGAGATGAGGAGCGGATCTCCTTATTCCTCTATGTGGATGACCTTTTGCTCCTATGCTCTAGCAAGGCTTTGCTAGATCGAGTGAAAGAGTTCTTGTCCTCGCGTTTTCGCATGAAGGACTTGGGGGAGGTGAAGTACTACTTGGGAATGCAAATTGAACGTGATGAGAGTGGTATCTTGATTCATCAAGAGAGGTACATTCTTAACATGCTTCAGTCCTTTGGTCTCTCAGAGGCCAACCCCGTGCGTACTCCTCTCCCAACAGGCTTTGATGTGCATGCCTATGAGGATGAACCCTTGCTGCGAGATGAGCTGGTCAAGCTCTACCAAAGCATTGTGGGATCCCTCATGTATGCTTGTACTACCACACAGCCACAGATTGCCTTTGCAGTCTCACAGCTATCTAAGGTCGCCTCTTGTCCTAAAATGTTTCACTTGCAGGCCGCTAAGAGAGTGTTGAGGTACCTGAAAGGTGGTGTCAAGTCAGGTATCTTCTTCCAAACACAGCCCCAGTCTCAGGTCCAGCTAGTTGGCTTCAGTGATGCTGACTATGTTGGAGATTCCGCAAGTCGCAGGAGCCACAGTGGGTATGTGTTCTGTCTGAATGGGGCAGCTATCTCTTGGCAGAGCAAGAGGCAGCCCGTGGTAGCACTCTCTACCACTGAGAGTGAGTATATAAGTCTGTGTCAGTGCATTCAGGAGGGTGTCTGGCTGAGGCGTTTGTTTGGGGAGTTTGGTCATGATCATGCTGGTGGTGTGCCTGTGTTTGTGGATAATCAGTCTGCCATTGCCCTTGCACAGAATGCATGCTTGCATGGCCGCACCAAACACATGCAGGTCCGGTGGCATTTCATTCGGGAGATGGTAGCTGCGGGTGAGGTGATTTTGCAGTGGTGCCCTACCAACCGTCAGGCTGCTGATATTCTTACCAAGTCTCTTCCATTTGAGCACCATGGTGTGTGCATGACCTTGCTCGGGATGCAGCCCCATGATGACAGGGTTCCCGCAGCAGATGCCGGCGTCTTGGTGCTCCTCTCCTTGGCGGACTCCATGCTCTGGGTGGCCCCAACCCATGAGCAAGGGGGAGTGGTGTGAAGTCTTTTGCCCTATGGTGTTGAGCCACACCCAGCACGAGCAAGGGGGAGTGATAAATGTGTAGTATTCTGTGGTGTAGTTTGCTCTAGCTGGTTGTGGGCTATTGGGTTTTGGGCAAAAGGACTTGGGTTGGTTGGCAAGGTTTGAACTTGTTACCTTTCCAACCCATACAACCTCAAATCCACTACAACATCTTTGATGTTGCAGTCATGGCACTTGAGAGTGTTAGGGTTTGGTCTAGGGCAAGGGTTGGTGGTGTTTGACAATCACATACTGCAACTTTTCCAGATCGAACTGCTTCCCTTCTCGTTTTTACTAGGTGATTCATGGCTGCCTAGCCAAATTACCAGAATACCCCCTCACACTGATTTCGTCATAATCGGCGGCTCAGATCTTGGTTATGAACGTGCTTTACCATTCTGGAAAGTAGAGATTAAGACCTTTCCAACGCGTATAAGCTCATTTCTAGAAGTTACCTGAGCAGCACGCAATGATTCGTTGAGATCGTCAGACTTAATCTCTAATTAGTTCTCTCCAGATTTGCACGATTTCCATCACAAGGAACCTTAGTCGCTCCACCAAGTGCACACTATGGCCTGCCCCTTCCTGGAGTCCACCCGGCCGATCGAGTACCAGAAAGGACTCATCCCCATCCTTATGTTCGCCGCCTTCCTACATTACTCCGACCTTGTTAGCCTCCAATGGCATGACATACAGTTTGAGCCTGAGGCAATGTGGCTACTCAGGAAAGCAGGGGAACGTGGACTCCGGTTACCACCACTTCCGGCCCATACTGCCTGGTACGCTGCACACGACACTTTCGTCTCCTTGCGGGTCACACCTCCACTCGACACGGGCCATTGATCCGAGTCTTCGAGAACAGCAGCATGGCAACTCCACAGGACCACGCGCCTTCGTACACCACCATCTAGAACTGGGGCCTTGAAGCATTCACCAGGGCCGACCTCGATCGCGCCCACCTCGGCACCCACTCCTTCCGCAAGGGCACTGCTACAGCGGCAGCCAGCCTGGGGATATCAGACCAGCTGTTCAAGCAACTTGGCCGTTGGCGCAGCGATAACGCCAAGGAGCTCTATGTTACCATCGCGTAGGACCAACTTCTTCAAGCCTCCACGCAACTCCAAGACGCAGCCACCGCCCCCACGCCCAATCAGCACTAGCTATCTATTGAACGCCACCGTCAACCCCTTCAACGCATGTCTCAGAAGACCCAGATGAAATGAAGCACGATGCCTTTATAAGAGAACTAAGCAAGCGTTCACAATATGTAATTTTTTTAAAGTGTGTAGCACTTTCTAAAAATGTGTAATGTGAGAGTGTTGCGAAGGCCAACGCAACAAAGGCAGCGACGAAGCGCTACTCACCCTCTTTAGCGTTCTTCATTTCTAGTTTCTCTAGTTCAATTTTCCCGCCCACCCACCCTCTTATGTGTGAAGTTCTTTGTTGGACGAGAACCATGTATGTTTCCCAGACAAAATGAAGCATGCTGCCTTTACAAGAGGACCCAAGCAAGCTTTCACAATATACAAATATATGTTGACACACCCCCTAGGCTAGACAAGGGGCATTACTAGACTAATAAAGGGTCACACAGCTCAGGGTGGCACTACTAGTCCAACCTCTGAGGCAAGGGTCCGAAGACCAGTCAGCAAGAGTACAAACTAAACAAGTGTAACCCACGACGGCACTACTAGTCCCGCCACCGGAACAAGAGCCACAAGGCCAACCAAGATAGTATAAGTAGTTATACACAGTCAGGTTCCTAGCAAGTGAGAGACTACAGGAACTAGACCAAGTTGTAAACAGTGCCGCTGATGATCTTTAGGCGCAAGCGCCTTCGTAAAGTTATTAGCTGTGTTGGCACCTGAGGCCAAGTGAACTACGCGAGCCTGGCAGCGCTGCAGTAGCTTCCGTAGGAGAAGGTACCGCAGCTACATGTGCTTCAATCTGCCCTCCACTCTAAGCTCCTGATGACTTGCACTCCACAAGATGGCGCCTACACCAAGGCTAAAGCAGTAGCCCTTGGAAGACCTGAGTGTCTCAGCGTCGTCCGCCCACAAAGCGTCTGTGTGCCCTATAAGGACCACTGGCCTGCGTCCTCCTAGCACTAGCCACATGCCCGATGTACTTGCTAAATAACGCAAATCCCTCTTAGCGGTCGACTAGTGTTGTGGTCGGTGTCTGCCTTTGGCCACAAAACGAGTTAGGATGCTGAGAGGGTATGCGAGATCAGGACGAGTGCAAGTCATCAGGTATTTGAGGCAACCCACCAACTGTGCGTAAGGACTACTAGGCTCTGCTGACTCCTCGAGAACTGGAGCTGAGAGCCTGTGGTCTACTGGCAGAGGTGTGGGCTGTGCAGAGGAGAACTGAAGACTGAACCTCTGAGGGACCTCGCGCACCAAGTGTGACTGTGTGAGAGTGATGGTGCGTGCTGCTCTGTCCTTGGAGATCTGCAGGCTAAGGTAGCGGTGCAGCTCTCCTAGGTCAGTGCATGTGTGTCTCCTCAGCAGCTCAGCCTTCATGGAGGCCTGTGCGTCTCTGTCTGCAGTAGCAAAGACTAGGTCGTCTATGTAGACTATGATGTAGAACAGGGTATGGCCAGCACAAGCAAAGAGCGAGGGGTCTGCAGACGATGGGAAGAACTGCAGGTCGGCTAACGTAGCACGAAGTGTGTCGTGCCACTCGCGTTGTGCCTACCGCAGGCCGTAAATCAGGCGCCGGAGTAGCCACTGGGTCCCCGGGGCGAAGGTGCGGGTAAAGCCGAGCGGACGGTGCAGGTAGACCTGCTCGTGCAAACCGCCCTTAAGAAATGTTGTCGAGAAGTGAAGAAAGTGCAGCTCATAGTCATGTTGTGCTGCTACATGTAGCAGTACCAGAAGAGTAGTGATCTTCAGGGTCGGGGCAAAGGTCTGGAAGAAGTCCACGCCCTCGCGCTGACTGAAGCCTCTAGCAACGAAGCATGCCTTGAACAATGGCAGCTCTACAAGAGGGCACTTCAGCTTGAAGAGCCACTGGCCATCGACTATGTTCTCCCTAGGTGGGGGAACTGCGTCGACGTAAGTGCCGATGGATTTCCACGATGCCATCTCCACATCTATAACAGCTATCCACTTAAAGGCCCAGAGTCCCGAGGTCGCCTCAGCGTAGGTGTGATGGGTCGGGATGTCGAAGGCGTCTGGGTCCCCCTCAGGGACTAGCAGCATGGAGCAGAGATAAGGCGCGACCTCGGACAGGAAAGCAAGCTCGTACTGCCGGTCCACCAAAACGTCACTACCAAGGGCAGGAGCACCCCCGACGGAGGGAGGACGGATAGGGTCTGAGACCAGAGGAATGGCCTAGTCAAGGCGGCCAGTGGAGGCGAAGTCAGCGACAAGAGCGTCAAGATTTGAGACAGGAACAGACGGGTCGGTAACGAGGGAGGCAAGGACCCAAGGAACAAGAGGACTAGCAGCACGAAGGTAGTCAGACAGAGGAGCCGGAGCGACAACAAGTGACGACGGAGGAGGCGAGGGGAGGAGGGGAGGATGAGACGCGTGGGAACGAAGCAACATCGGGTGAGAGCGCTGGACAGGAGAAACAGGACGAGCACGAGAGGGACGACGAGACCTAAAGTGGGACGGAGGCATTGGGTCAGGAGACACAAGAGGAGACACAAGCGGAGAACGAGGGGGGAAATGAGCCGAAGACGAGTCTGGCGGAGGAAAGACAGAGCCGTAGATAGGCAGGGGAGGTGGCGGCGGGGGAGGCGCATGCGGGTGGTAAGGGGAGGGAAGGCCAAGCAGGCAAGGGGCAGACACCGGCGGCGACTGCTGCTGCGGCTGCTCCACTCCGACACCAGAACCTCCAGCTACACAACGGCTATCTCCGAAACGCTCCACTCCAGCACCCCGCGTTGACGGGGCCAGCGTGGCACGAACGGGGCCAGTGGGGCATACAAGGCCAGCGGGGCGCACGGGGCTAGTGGGGCTCGACGGGGCCAGCAAGACGCGAACGGGTCCAGTGGGGCGTACGGGGCCAGCGGGGCGCACAGGGCTAGCAGGGCTCGACGGGGCCAGCGGGTCGCGAACAGGGCCAGCGGGGCATACAGGGCCAGCAGGGCGTACGGGGCCAGTGGGGCGCACAGGGCTAGCAAGGCTCGACGGGGCCAGCGGGGCGTACGGGGCCAGCGGGGCGAACGGGGCTAGCCGGGCTCGACGGGGCCAGCAGGGTGCACGGGGCTAGCGAGGCTCAACAGGGCCAGCGGGGTGTACGAGGCTAGCGGGGCGCTAAGGGGCCAGTGGGGCGCTAAGGGGCCAGCGGGGCACTAAGGGGCCAGCGAGGCGCTAAGGGGCCAGTGGGGCGAAAACGATAGCAACACACAGAAAGGAACAGGAACCTTTGCAAATGTTTGAACTTCCGCCGTACGATCCCTGCCATCATAGAACTCTCCCCAAGCTTGGAGAAGGGAAGAGTGGGGCTTTGAGATATTCCTACACCCCTTGGAGATGTCAGGGTCCCCTCAAAACCCTCCCGGGTTCTATGAGTCAGTACAGAAATCTCCTTGATACTTTCAGGGCTGGCTTGGGAAAAGCCGAGGAAAACACAGGGTCAATCTAGGAAAAACCTTGGATTTTTAGAAAAGTTAGGGTAATTACCCAGTTAAACTATGCCCTGATGGGAATACTATGCGAGTCCCATGGGGAACTTACACGGGTTTTATAGCGGACTTATGAGGGTGGTTGAAGGGCCTTGTGGGAGCTTTATGGGAGCCCTTTAGGAGTCTAACAAGGTGTATGATTTTTGCCTTTAAACAATTACCATATACACCTTAAGCCTTGTATAAGGCATGGGTAAGTAAGTAAAGGGGACGAGATCGTAAGGGAATGCAACCGGAAGAAATGCCCTGGTGAATTGCGCATGGTTTCAGGTTGGGGTGCGTGGCGCCAGGTGGATTTCGCGTCCACATACTCTTAACACTTTATTTGCACTTGGGGTTTGCAGGTGAAAATACGAGGGATCTTGCAGGTGAAATGTAGAGTGAATGTAGTGCAACTTTCAGGTGAAATTTGCATGTGAAAAATGGCGGATTTCGCAGGTGCCATGCGAGGGAGAGTGTGGCTGTTGTGATAACGATCTCACGTTGCGATATGTGAGGTTTTGGAGTGTGGTTCAAGCTAGTAATTGGTGGATTGTTTGCTTCTGCATTTGGTGGGCTGTTAGATTAAATGTGTGTGTGTGTGTGTTTCATTTGAAGAACATCCTATTTTATGAAAAAACATTTCATATC